ATATATATATATATATATATATATATATATATATATATATATATATATATATATATATATATATATATACACACACACGCACGCATATCATATGAATCTGCATCTGCCTTTCTCTCGTTCTCTTCCTCCTATTTAGGTACACAAGACAGCGGGATTTCCAACGCCCTCGCTAATAGGCTTGCTCGCATTCTCTCGCCTTCTTCAACTACAAAGGCTGCGTGTAAGTCATTTGCAGAAATCCCTAAACGACAATGCCCCTGCTTTAATATTCACCTTTCCTTTCCATATTCATCTAATTTGCTCTGTCGGTGAGGTAGGTGGGCGGGAGAGTGGGCGGGGCTTAAACCAGGAGGCGGGACCCCCTTCACTATATATAGAGTCGCTACGCAATTTTCAACAGCAGCAAAAAGTGTCTTCAGTCCGCGCCATTCTGCAAAGTAAGTTCAGAGAGGAATTCGTTTTCACTTATTCGTTTCGTTCATTTATTTGCCTGAAACTATTTTTTGGTGGTAAGATTTATTAAATGTTTTTTTTTTATTTTTTTATTAAGATGTTTAGAGTTGAGATAGATTTTTTTTTTCACCGTGCTTTAAGATATCTTGTTATCACTCAGTCCTGGTGTGGAGTTGCAAAATCTGAGTTCTTTCCTGCATTTAACCTTATTAGAAAAAAAGAATGCTATAAAATCTAATTCGCCTCACATGATTTTGTGCTGTATTAACACACATATATGTCTATACATGTTAATGCATGTTTAAATATGTATATATATATATATATATATATATATATATATATATATATATATACATATACATATATGCACACACACACACACACACACACACACACACACACACACACACACACACACACACACACACACAGTGACAGACATTTACAAGTTATATAGTAGTCAAGTGATTATTTACCTGTTAGTGCGTTATTTTTTCGTACTGCAATTAAATCCTGTTCGAATGCACGAAACTCGATAAACTTCAAATCACTGATGAGAAGCAGGGATGGCGATCCATACATATGAAAGTCTGAAAACGAGCTGGGATTTGGGGGCACACAAACAACCACGTAAGATAATATACCACAAGCAGAGAATACTCTTATTCACATTCGACTTACAAAACCGTATAAACATACAAATATATGAAACAGTAATTTCCATCCTATCGAGTCCTTTAGATATCATGATGAATTATTCTTGTAATAAAATACATTAATATGTATTCACTAATTCTTGTAGATCGGTGTTAGTCATCAGCTGATATGGCGGACATATTTTCCTTTTTCTTTTCTTCTGCAAATATGTCAGGGGCCGGTGACATATCTATGACATGTTCTAATCTGTTTATGGTGTAAAACATTTAAACAAGCATAGCAATAGAAATATATATCAGAAAATATGATGAATATGATATCGTTTGACACATCATGTAAATTATGCAATATCCTATTACGCAAGTTTCTTTCGCCTATTGGGAATTCCTGGAAGCGTCAGCTAGTAGTTCGCGTACCGGTACTAGGAAACATACTACACTTTCAGCAGCACTGGTGTTGATATCACAACCTTCCATCCTTAAGAACTCCTACTTCTAACTCCCATAGTACGCCGTTATTATGTTATTAATTCTTCGTCAACTTTCAGATGATACGGACCGCGTGTACTCTGTTGCTGTTAGCCTCTGTTGCCGTGACTGTGGCGACAGCTTACCCTACATGGGAGGCTCGGTCTGCGGTGCGTGAGGTGTGTTTGTCTCTAGTTACTTTTGTTCTCTGAATGTCAATTTAATGGAATTAGTTAATGTAATTGTGTTTGGTACATGTTTTTAACATTGTTGCAGGTTTTTTTTATCATTTCATTAGCATGACTATTGTAATTATCGTTATCAAGTTATTTCCCGTTTCTACGAAAAACATAATGATAGCTGCGTCGACTTTGGAGATAAATGTTTTTTTTGTTTTTTTTTCCTTACACACGATCTACCTCACGTATCTCCGTAAACTTAGGCCAAGCATTTCCGCACCCACAGTTCAACAAGGATGGTTCGGAGCCTTTGCTACCCATCCTGATCCTCCCTCTGGAGCCTCAGCGCCCCCAGGCCCTCAGAGTAGGAACAAGATCCCAGAAGAGGAACTCCGAGATCCTCAACACCCTGCTGGGCTCGGAGGCTCTCGGGGCCATGAGGAACGCCGGCAGGAGGTAGTCTGTGTAGGCCCCCCGGGAGTGAAAGTACTGCGTCAACATTGGCCAAGCCGCACGAAAATCAAGCTAGTCCATACGAATTGATGTCTCAGGGTAATCATTAATCGATGAATTGAATTGGAAATAAAATCACCTATAGCGTTTTTTCTTCCTGAATTATTGATTTAGAAATAAGATGAATATTTTTAAGTATTGGTACTCTGATTTGATATTAATATCTATATGAAATAGGTTGTTCATTGTGCTTTTAAAGAAGTTCGGTCATTCATCACATATAGAGATATATCAAGTTTTTAATCATTGTTTCATTACACAAAAAAAAACAGATGTTTGGTGGAAAACACAATGATAGATTTGAAGTTCAGTTATAATTATCAAGGAAAAGAAAACAATAAAAATAAAATCTCAAAATAAAGGATTTTGGAAACAAAATATTTTCTGTTCCTATACAAGTCCTAAGAACACAGTCCCAGCAATGACTAATATATCTAGGATTCTAGACATTTTTCACTCATGATCCACAAACACACGCACACACACACACACACACAAACACACACACACACACAGAAATAATCAATATTAAATTATTTGAAAATGGGGTTATCCATGCAAAATGAGACAGTCACACACACAAAAATAATATCCATGTATCTGTACTGATCCAACATATTCCTTTAGAAGATAGCTACAGATTCACACCTTTACTCTGCGCATCAGGGTTGGATCTAAGAACATTTATTATCTATTCAAAATTTCTGCCGCGTCAACATCTAAGGTTATTTAAAATATAGTGATAACATGAAGTTTGGAGCAAAGCCCCCAGGTAAGGAACTGCTATATGATATCTAAAGTCATATGGCGCTATGACAAATTAGAGCAGCGAAAAGGGTTAGGAATAAGTTAATGATTAGGGTAAAATTACAGGTTGAACAGTTCTAGTGGGCGGTATGGTAGTGAAAAGGGTAGTGAGAGAGAGCTGATGGGGTATAGTATAAGGTAATGGTTGTTAGAAGACGAAGGAGTTAAGGGAGTAGGAAGCATTATGATAAAGAACTGCGGTGAAAACGGCAACAACGAGTTTACTGATTAGGATAAGTGAACAGAACAAGGGGATGAAGAAAATCAAAAGGAAAAGCGAAGGATAAAGGACCATGTAAAATTAGTTGAGACGAGGGTTGAGGACCTAGGTAGGGGTGATCCCCTACAATGGGCCTCAGTCCCCCCCCTCCCCTCACAACAACGAGCAAGGGATTGGGTGGGTGGGAGGGGGGGGGGGTTAAGTACATGTACTTGGACTTGAACTTAATTCCATATTTTTATGTACTTGTACTTGGAGTTTATAAATATTGGATAAAGGAGCATAATTATGTAGTATTTTCTCAATTAGTAACATGTTGCAGTGTCATCTGCATCTTCTGCTCTCATTGAAAGGTTTTGCAGCATTGCTGGAAAACTGTTTAACCCTAACAGATGCCTTACTAACAAAAAACTTTGAAAGTGTGATGTTCAGAAAGTGCATAAAGTGTTCATAAAGACACTTACTTGTGTATATTTCTTATTTCAAGTAAATCATCTATTTTCTTTACCTTATTTAGGAGCAAAAATGGAACTGAAGTTCATCAAATCTTATTTTGAATTTCATGCCACAAAAAAAAAATCATCTATATTATATATAGTAATTCTGTTATTTTTGTACTACGGGAAAAGTCCCAAAAGGAAAATTAAACAAAAATTCACACAATGAAACATATGAAGAATAAATTTATGTTCAATAAAATCTGCTGCACTTATCTGCTATTTTGAGTTTAAAAAACTATGTTATTAATATAGAACAAGAGACAAGCTTTTAAGCTCTGATACCTTCATTTTCTGCCTCATAATTAGTTTTATTACTGATATGAGAATATAACTATTTATTGAAAATTTTCTGCCGTGTCAACATCTAAGGTGATTTGCAGTGTATACAAAACATAGCATTAGGGTGGAGCTTAGAGGGAAAGCCCCAAAGTGAAGTATTATGTTACAGTAAGGCAGTGCTTGTGGATTTCCAGAATGGTCAATGGTCAAAACAAACAAATGTACAAGGTATCATAGGTTACACAGCATTATGGTGAAGTATTCAGGCGAAAAGGCTAAATATGAATTAATGATTTTGATAAGTGGACAGAAGAAGGGGATGAAGACAAGAAGGAAAAGGAATAGAGAAGAAAAGACCTTGCAAAGTAAATTGAAGGGAGGGCTGAGGTCTAGGGCAGGGCTGATCCCTAAATTGGGCCTCAGTCTCTGCCTCCTAACCCCCCCCCTATGGCAACAACATGCAAGGGATTGGGGGGGGGGGGCTGATATGAAAAATATATGGATGGTCTTTTGCATTTGCAGCATAGGAAATATTATTTATTCAAGTTATTCATCATACAGTATATGTTCTTGCTTTGCAATTCTGTGATAAAAATAGTGATGTGCTAAAATAAATGTAGAATTTCCATATACTTTTCTATATTGAATCCCCCACTTTTTAACAGTGCACTACAAACTTACAAATGTACTTGTACTTGTACTTAAATACAATGACATGTACTTGGTCTTGGACTTAAGTACATAGCAAAGTAACTGTACTTATACTTGTACATGAAAAATATCCAGGTACTTGGACTCAGTCTTAAGTACAGTCTCCTGTACTTGGGCCCAACCCTGGTGCACATATATCTGTAACTTTTATTTATGATTATCAATTTATACATATACTTTTCACTTTCACTAGGATTGTAAATAAAAGTACTTTTAGTAAAATTTTGATCATCTATATTATAAAGACATGTACATAATCATATCTCCATTCTTCTCACGGGTCTGTCAAACAAACCCTGTCAAATAGCCATCTATACAAATAATGCACTTTTCACATTAGTCATACAGTATTCTTTCTTTTTCAAGAATTGAGTGTAAAACATTCACAAGCAATTTCATAAAAAGCCTTTTTTTTTCGTCTTAGCTTACATTCTATAAATTTGCTCATTTCAGAATATCACAAAATTTACATAGGATATACAAATCCAAAAGATATGAAAGTTCTCTAGCAAGGAAACTAACTTCCAGCATTAAAATTATTGGAAGCTTTATAAGCGTGGCATTTTTCCAGCAGTGAGGTAAATTCTCTAATATTAAAGACTGAGAAAAATTAAACTTATTTTGTACAAGAATATGTAATAATAATAATAGTAATAATGATATAAATGATAATAATAATAATCATCAGATATAAATTCATCTTTGTAATAATTTTCATAAAAAGAAAACAAGAAACAATCAAGAAAAGAAAAAAATATAACATACATTATCATTAAAAAAAAAAAATCTGTATAAGAAACTGAATAAAATTACTATCAATTCTAAGGAAAAATACCCAACTTTCACAATTATCCAGAAATTATCCTGAATCCCATGCTGCTAATCATAATATATAAATTCCAAATAAACTGAATATACCATTTCAAATCAAAGCATTTGTCTCTTGCAATACATTCTTAAATCATTCTGTATATGGAAATGATTCACAAACATTTAGAAATATATTCAAATGTGGAAAAAAAAAACTACAGAATATTACAATACCAATAACTCCTTCTCATCTAAAGGCGATTACCAGTCCTGTATTTATTTTGCCAAAAAATCTATTCTTTGGCATTACTTACAACTTCTTATCAACATAGGAATTCAATGGGATAAGAAGTTTTCACAGAAACCGACCCTGATTGCATCTAACCTCTAGCTTATGGCTGACAAAGAAATGCCTGTTGTGTTCCCAGATCTGATGAACCTTTAGGACGAACTTGTTTTATGGATGAAGTAGATGAGTTGTAAAGGAGGCTGTAGGAGCAGAAAAAAAGTCTAGAGTGGATTATTATGAGGCTGTGTAGGAATATTTTATTGACCAAGCAGTTTACAAGTCTTTTAATAATGCCTCTGGTTCAGCCAAACAGATGGAAAGAGGGCAAACTGATGAATGGATGAATGCATGAAAACACTTAAAATGGGACAAAGAGTGTGTGTGAATGAACAAATGATCAAGAGAGAATGGATGAATGAATAGGTAAGAGAGAAAATGAATGAATGAATGAGAGAGATCTAGAGAATGTGGTGGAACTCTGCTTCAGAGAGGAGCTTCTGTGAGAGCTTGGTTTCTTACACTTTGACTGTGTTGCATAGCTCTGGCTATCAACATTAACTATGAAAAGTATATTGAAATGCAAACAATTCTTAAGTACACATATCACTGAATCATGAAAATAGTCTAATTAAGAAAGTAACAATTATAAAACTACCATGGCCTCAGTATAAAAAATAACTGTATTCACAAACCATTAGAACTAATCATTCAAATAACCTCAGAATCCTAATAGTAATATTAAAGATAATATTGATGACACTTGTAAGTCAAAATATTAATAATCCTCTAAAATGAATAAATAAATAAACAAAATAAAATATGATTCTTATATTCACTTAGTTTCCTTCAAAAATTTACTAGAGTTTCAAAGAAAATGAACATGTTGCTACAATGCAGAAATAAACAGGGATAAAATCTTGGCTTGGCTATATAAGGAAAATAATAACAATAATGATTATAACAGCAGCAATACTAAAATTCTGAAGAGCAATCAGAGGATGTAACACTGACAAGAACTTACGACAGGGATGGGACAAAATGCACATCATCACTCCTGGTGTGTAAAATTGCCACAGGTTAAAAATACTATACTGTTGGTACCTTGAACTTCTTGTTGCAAGAGGAACATGTCTGGTTTGTAAGTTAAAGGAATGGTTGAAGGTCTGGAATCCATCACATGTAAGATAAATGAAGGGATTAAAACAAAAGAAAGAATGAGAGTATGAAAGAGAGATAGCGAGAAGAGGGAGGAGAGAGAGAGAGACCTTCATCAATAGCTGATGCATGAAAACAAAACAAAAATGGCCAAATTGCACTGTTAATTACTAGCATAATTTTATGAGTATGGAAGATACAAATATATAATACCTAAAAAATCAAATATATATATATAGGAAAAATTAGGCCCAGTAACTGATTACAAAAAGAACCAAAAAATTCCTTCACAAGGTATCTAAAAATGTAATACAAATTGTAACGACAGTTTCAAAAAAAAAAGAGCCAGAATATACCTTAAAAATAAAAATAATAATTTTTCTTATGTTTTTTTTATCACATTATGTAACCTAATTGCACAGTTTTCTGACAGAGATAATCAAAGTTAAATAAAGCTTTGGAAATAAAAAGAGATTTACACAAAACAACTGGGAAACAAAAAAAAAGCGAGTCAGGTACAAGGACAGTATGAATGGTATTCCCTAATGCACAGTGAAGCGGTGACGGTGAAAAATAATAATAAAAAAAAAAATCCTCTAAGATACCTGGTATACAATTTTCTCTCTCTTTCTCTGCAATCTATTCTAAGAGTTCATTATAAAAAAAATAATAATGTTTATTAAATTTTATGTTTTCAGCTTATTTTTTCTGCATGCTAAAAAAAAATAAATAAATAAAATAAATAAATAAATAAAACTATAATGTACAATACTTAATTCTTCTTTTAGAAGCCATGGAAAAAACAAAATACAAAATACAGTGCAACAAATCCTTAGAATAGAACACAGGAATACTCTATCATTATTTTCAAAGACAGCTTTGGAAAACTGACAAAAACAAATTGATTTAATGATCTAAACTTATAACTTTCAGAGCAGTTAAGAACTAATGATCTTATTGACAAGACCGGTGGGAAGTTTTTGGCACAAATTTATGACGTCATCTGTGCATACTTGCCAAACTTAGTATGCATTCCATAAATAATATTTGAACATTTTTCTGAATTTTTACTTCCTATAGCCTGTAAAAAAAAAAATAATAATAAATAAAAAAATAAAATAAAATAAAATAAAATAAAAATAAAATAAAATAAAATACTTATCTTGTATCTATAATCTGTAACTGACACTTTTAAAAACTATTCTGATATACTTTTTTTAGAACTTCAAGTACTGAACTGTGAATAGAATTATAACAAAGAAAGACCATAGAAAGCGCATCTATTTTTCCAAAGAAAAGAAGAGAGAAAAAACAAAAAAACTTTCATATCACCAGGTACAAAATCATACACAAAATACATCTTTCACAAACAAATAGTGTTCTTCCAAAGGGAGAAAAAACAACACTGCTGTATAACATGGCACCCTAAACGTATGGACAGTCACAGATAAGTCACGCTGTGAAAGAAGCTTCAAAACTCCCTCTAATCTAGGGCCACATTAAGAGTTTTGACTATGCCTTGTACAGCCCCTTGACTTCAATGGCTATAAAACCTTGGTTCGACACATTTAGCAATATACATTTGCTGTACTTGCTCAGGTGTTTCAATAGTCAAAGCACAATTGATTAGTGCTTTTAAGAAATCAGTGCCATGTATACTCAAGTTTGTAATAATAATATCTTCACTACACTGCAACTTCTTTCACTGATCTTAACATTTTTCCTTTTCTATCAAATTCTTATAATAAAATAAAAATACATTTCTACTGTCAGACGTAAACCCTAAGTGTTTGCATAATTGGTCTACGACATACAGGACAGATATTGTCTCTTGTGATAATAGCTGAACGGCAAGCATCGCACAGACACAAGTGGCGGCAAGGAAGCAGAATCACACACTTTGGTTGATCTTGGCACACTATGCACAAACGACCTTCACGTTCCTGCTCTAGTTCCCTATAGAGCTGGTAGGCCTGGCCATTTTCATTTGCTACTGCTTCTCTTCCTTCCCTTTTGACTTCAGCATGTGCAACTTCTGGCATGGGAGCCACTTCCTGCTCTTCCTCCTCCTCCTCTTCCTGCTGAAGACGATATCGCTGCCTTGTGAGTGGCCTTCTAGCCAGTCCATCAGGAATGATTGGTGCTGCCACTGGTGGAGGTGGATTGTGTGATCCACCTGCTCTGTTTATTTGGGCATTTTGCGAACCTCCTGCTACATTCACTTGTGGATGGGGAATCTGCATCTGATTTATGAACATCTGATTCTGAGGTAGATTCAGGTCAGGTACATTATCATTATTATCATTGCCATTTTCATCACTGGTGTCATCTAGTTCTTCCTCCTCTGTGTCATCCTCCATTGGTGGTACTAGGTGAGCTCTTTGTACTATTGCTGTGTACCATCTGAAGAATCTCCGCCTCATGATGACGAGAAGGGAAGGCAGAGGCATGTCAGGGATCAGAATCAAATTATCCATCATATAAACTAGGACATATTTGAGTCCAACTAAGACTGCAGACCCAACTGCAGCACCAATAACTGCTTCTACAGGAATGTCACATAGAAAATTCACTATGCTAGAGATGCATGTATCCCCTATATAGCATGCTGTTAGCCAAGCATTGTACACTTTCTGGCTACATGCAAGATAAGCACAAGAACACAGGTGAATCAGCCCTGTGAATGTTAAATATATCAAATTTGGTATGAGGCTGATGAGGAATATGACTGATGAGCCAAACAGGACAAAAAAGTGCTTAACAATGTTAAGAGCATTGCCCAGCTGTCCAAAGGCAAGGACTATCCATGAGAGAATAGAACAGTAGAGTGTGTGGACAAGATGACAGGAGTACATCACTGCAGATACAATGCACATGAAGGTACCATAGACAAAGTTAACCACTGTCAAGGCCCCTGTGTGTACTGCTACACCCATAGTGAGGACTGCATTCCCTATGTCACTCAGGAAGAAGAGTAAGTCTGTCATCAGGAGAGAGAGCAGATCTGCAGCCTGTAAAGAAAATAATAATAATTAGATAACTATAGAAAACAACACATTAACAATCAATCTAGCTTAATGGTTAGAAAACAAAATAAATGTGCTAGATATCAAAGGTCATATGCCACTTTAGTAGTAGTGAAAAGGATAAAGAGGGGGTTTAGATGATGATCAAATGTGATATATGTCAAAAGTCATATAGCAGTTCAAGATAGTATGGCATTACAAGAAACAAAAAGGGGTGAGGGTTGAGAGAGGGTGATTAAATGGGCTAAGGTAGGGAAAAGTTGTAAAAAGAAGAAGTACAAGAATCTCTGTAGGGTACGGTAAGGACAAGGTAGCTAAACGGGAATACTGTGTCCATGGCTCCATTAGGCTTTTCGTAACTGGCACAAAGTCGTCCTTTTAATATGGTTCTCATACCTTAGGAAGTGGATTATACAAGGGGATGGAGAAGAGAAGGAAAAGGAGAGGGTAGAACAGAAGAATTTGCAAAATTAATTGAGTCAAAAGCTGAGGCTCAAAGCACATGGGACTGGGAGGGAATATCAAACACAAACCTGCTTGAAGTTATGTGCCTTAAACAGTTGTTCCTTTCTTTGGCCTTGACTGCAGTTTTCAAGGGGATAAAATCCCTTAATATGTGTTTGTGATAATGTGTATGTTGAAGCTAAATGTGTAAAGAGTGGGGTAAATCTGTGTTTCCATCAGAGATATATATATCCCATTTTTAAGTGTATTTATTCAAACCAATGAACAGATTTTTGCTTATTCATTTTGAATATACACAAATGACTCCATACATGTTTAGTAATCAAGAAGTCAAATATTAGCCCTCCTTGAATCTTTAAAATGCATTTTTAAAATTTTTTGTTACTGTTATTATTATTAAATGGGCCCATTAGGATGGGCATGTGCACCCAAGGTTGAAATTCAATTAAGGACAATTCTGTATTCATGCATGAATGGGAAACTTCCCATATGATCAATAGACCCCAAATATGTTTCATGGTTTGCCAGTGAGGTAAGTCAGGGTAAATAATCCATGAGCTTGGGGCTCACATGTAACTGTGACAGGATGTGAAGAATCAGAATGACTGCAGAAAGAACCTTTGCCTACATGTTTTTGGAGACATTTTTGGTAGAGGAGGGTATTATCAAATTAAAAGGCTGTAGGAAGAATCACAAAAAAAAAAAAAAAAAAAAAAATGATCCCGTACGGCTGGGTTGAAAAGAGTATTTAAAAGATTTGCAGAGGTGGAAGCAGTGAACAACAAGGATAGGAGGAAGAGGGAGTGGTGTTGAGTGAGGAAGCACTACAGGGAGATGGACAATAAGGACACAAAGTAGCAAAAAGAGAGGAGGGGATTGAAAATAAAGAAGGCTGGAGGATGAGGAGATGCCCCATGCCCCTGCTGTCTGGCATTAGCTAAGCCTTCTCTTCTGTCATTTGACTGATTTTATTGCAAATGTTGTTCTTATAATGAATTACATAAATTACTGGTCAGTTTTAGTAACACTGCATATTGCTGAATTATTAAAAATGCATTATGATTAACATATATATATAATATATCATAGAACACAAATGGTACAAGGTAACTGAGAAATGGGCCAAGATGTATCACTATTTTATGACTATCATTTCCCACATAACTGTCACTAAAGTATCATTTATATACCAATCTACTACATATATTTAGTATTGGTACCTGAGGAATTCCAAAATGTGGGTTCTTTGTGCATTTTATCTTATATAACAAACCAAGTTACTGATCTGAACTTTAGTACTGTAGACCAAAAAGGTTATAGTAAATAAATAACAAAAAAATTATCAAACTTTAAAATGCTTTTTCTCAGACTTATCTTTCTGATGCCAAGAGCACAAAAAAAATCTAAATACTGCTTATCTACTCTCAGAGCTCTTCCTCTCATCGGAAAGACCATTCAAATGCAACTGACCTATCATTTTCTGATTTTTCCAATTTTGAAAAATGAAGAGATATGGAAAGTGAGGGAGAGGGTGAATACTACCTTACATGTAAACAAACTAAAAAAGACTGCAAATTTGGAAGAAAGACAGAGACCTTTCTGAAGTGTAAAATCCATAGAACAAAAGTTAAATTCGGATTTGACAAAATCCTTAGCAAGAATACCATGGATATGGAGCCAGCCCTTCTCCAAACATGTATAAGCACATATTCTGCTCATACTACATCCAGCTGTAAATTCATTGGCAGCTAACATGGATGTGTCCCCCAGATGGTTACCAACCACCATTTTTGCCAGCTAATTTCTGTTAATAATGTTGCATCACTGAAATTGATGACTGAGTTTACCCTCATGCCTTCGCTCCACTAGTGCTTAATAGAACGCCTGATATGAGATTACAAATTTCTTTCGTGCAGAATCTTGCTATGGTCTTGTGACTTTTTTGTTTTTCTTTCTCGACATGGTAAATAAACTTTTTATTCCAGATACTGTCCCTTTTACCTTGAACATGACAGAATATATAAAAGCATGAAATTTATGCTTTCATTACTATCAACATGCTTGAATGTCATTGAAACACATGTACTTTTCCCCTTGGTTAATTTCACTGAAACCCTTTTGCATTTCAGGGTATAGAAAAAATAGTCAAATCAACAACACAGTTCATGAAATCTAATTGTTTTGTCAATGTGAGGCCAGGATCATTACTGTAGCACATGTAATTCTTGGAATACCTATAGCAAGCTGAAATTAGTTTAAATCCTGGTGGTATGAGAAAATATGAAATATGCTAGCATATTATTGGATAAATGTACTTTTGACACAAACTTTATCACCTAAAAGCTGAGCAACAGATAAACAGACAAGACAAGACAAGAGAAAAAAAAAAAAAAAAAAAAATTATATATATATATATATGTATATATATATATATATATATATATATATATATATAGAGAGAGAGAGAGAGAGAGAGAGAGAGAGAGAGAGAGAGAGAGAGAGAGAGAGAGAGAGAGGGGGAGAGGGAGAGAGGGAGAGAGGGAGAGAGGGAGAGAGGGAGAGAGGGAGAGAGGGAGAGAGGGAGAGAGGGAGAGAGGGAGAGAGGGAGAGAGGGAGAGAGGGAGCGAGAGCTAGCGAGCCAGAGAGACATATTATGAGATGTTATTAAATGGAACTTTCACTGTTGGAAAATCTTACTTTGTTCACAAGCAGCAAGAGTAGTTGTACAATTCGAGTTGCAGCCCTGAACACTGTGGTCATCAGCTTGTTGTTAAGGCGAATGGCCACTCCCACCCCACTCCACACCATTTCAAAGGCTCTCCCCATCTCTTCTGCTACCACCGTCAGTACACCAGCCATTCTGAAACTAATGGAAAGTGTTACTTATTTATTGATTAGTTCAAAATAACATTCTGAAATCACTGCAAATCAAAATTATATACAAATGCATGCACACATCTGCTCATGAGCATACAAATACAAATATGCACACACAACACATACACACAAACACATACACTGAAATAAGCTACTGCTGTCATTCACTCACTTTCTCTGAAAATGGGACAAATGTTTAATTTACACAATATTAATGCTCTACATTACCAAATCACTGAAGTTGAGGATTATATTAGTATAATTTTTAAGAAAAGACTTAATAAATAAAAATAAAATAAAAGTACAATGTCTTCATATATGCAACAATAAATCTCTCCGACAGCATCTCTGAAGTTGGACAGACTATGAAGATATTCAATTTCTTTGCCAAATTATCTGATTCTCTTATTGCTGATATGTTACCATACATCATAATATTCCTCTTCGTCTACTGACATTATAATTTCCTTTCAGGTTCAATCTATCAGGTAGTTATATGGAAAATAAACAATATTTCTATTATAAAAAAATAATAATAACAATAATAATAATGTCTGCAATAGTAATAATGATAATGATAAAGATAGTGATAATGATAACAATAAGAACATAATAATAATCATAATCATAATCATAATAATTATAATAATAATAATGATGATAACAATAGTAATAATAATGATGATAATAATGATACTGATAATGATAACAATAATATACTTATAATAACAACAATAATCAGTATTATCATTAGCTACTATTCTTATGATGATTGTGACAATGATAATGATAATTATTATTATAAATATCATTATGATGTGAAGGATGAGGATGAGGATATTGATACTTCATACAAATATTAATACTAATAATAACAACAATATCAATAATAATAATAATAATAATAATAATAATAATAGATATAATGATAATAAAAATAATAAAAATATCTAGACTAATGGGTTAATGGATAATAGTTAGATATAAAAAATCCAACTATTACCAATAAGCAAACTTTTAAAACCAATAACCAATAAGTATTTTTTTACCATACTATGTGAGTAGTGTCGTTTAAACAAAACAATATCCTGTAATAAAAGACTATACAGAAAGAATGAAAAATGTATAAGGTATGGTAATATAACTAAATGCACAGTTCTTGTTCACATGTGGAGTGATGTAACATAAGTACTACTTTTCCAAAAATATTCTAAATGTCTAATTTGAATGTGAATATCTAATGCATAGATTAAAAGAGCCCCTCACAAAAATCCATAAAAGAAATTATATCAAAGCAAAGAAAAAAACAAAAGGAAAAAATTAGAAATGATGCATTGCTAAGAGAAAATTGTGGAATAGAAATACAAGAATTATAAAGAGCTATGAAGGAGAATGACTTTTCACTTTTCATCTTTGTCATCTTGGAAAAAAATAAAGTAAAATAAAAAAAAATAAATAAATAAATAAATAAAAAATCCTGTACCTCCTGGCAAGACAGAGATATGATCGGTTCCTTATTTGACAAATCCCTAGAGAGGTTTGCAAGCCACTGCCAAGATGTCAAAAGTGTGTAGGCCACAGCCATTTCTTGAGTTCAGACTTTTAATTTTCTAGTGTTTCAAGTGGATCTGGACAGAACAGGGCCATATAATTGAAATAATCCAGTTCTGAAAGACACTATAAATCAAAATAACAAAGTTGCACATAAAACCAAGACCTCTTAGATAATATGCAACACTGTACATTAATATTATGCAACATGTACAATAATAACCTGCCCTTGAAAAATTAAGACACACACACACACACACACATATATATATATATATATATATATATATATATATATATATATATATATATATATATATATATATATATATATATATATATATATATATATGCATGTGACTCCTGTTTTTTTAAGTCTGCACGCCAAAACTAATATGTTTCGGTACTGGTAGAATATATATGTATAGTGTCAGAGTATTAGTTTTAGTCTACAGAAATCAACTATAGCACTAACGTTTATGGAAATTAAATTGGCATAGCTTTTACGGGGGCTGTTAGTGCTCCAGCAAAGGCCAATAAACCTCTGTCAGATATAGGCTACTTTAGCAAGAGTGAACTTACAGACATCCCTTGGAATTTTATCATCAGATCAGTAACAAGTCTAAGCTTTTTTTCTTACTAGAATATACATGTTAGTTTCCATGATACTGCTAGTGTGCTCTAAGTTTGGAGGCTATCAGGGAAAATATTCAGAGTACCATAACCGATCTCAACAATTTTGGTACTGATGGATTCCTCTCACTCTCTAATACCCAAGTATATAGAAATTGTGCCACGGAAACACCCCAATACGCACAATAATGGCCCCAATAGCATGAGGGCATGAATGGCACCAGAGAAAAAAACGGAGCAAATTACGAATAATATGCAGAGAATTGGGGGTCTGTTGCCTCCCAACCTTCACCCCAGACAATAAATGATATCACACGTATGGCAGAAAGGAGTGTAGGACAGACTAAGCATCGAGCACTCCTGCATGTTGGTCGTACGGTCTTGACTGCTGAGAATACATCGACGATTCTGTCTTTCAGGGTAGGGATTGGTAGGGGGGGGGCAGCAATACGCCAAGAGAGGGGTCGCTGAGGAAAAGCCCCCTTCTTTAGACAGTTAAGTGACTTATTAGGTATATATCATTATTATAGTGATGTATTTCATGTATATCATATTTTACACAACAAAATCCCTGGTACCTTTCATACCCTCCCCTACTATCAAGGCCAAGTGTGGGAGGGGAGGAGGAGGTTTAGGGGAGTTCTGCAACACAATTCCAACATATTTGTATACTTGAGGGTGAGAGGAATCCATCCATACCAAAATCGTCACAATTGGTTACGTGAAAGTATTCTAAACAATTACCATTATCATTATTACTATGTTGCTGTCATAGTGGCAATTAGTCGACATTGGATCTCCTTGAATCTCAATAATAAAAAAAGAAAAAGAAAAAGAAGGATTATAGGAGGTGGAACGGCATATCCCCAAGTTTTTATTTTCAGGCTGTCTGACATTCGTGCCGCATAACCTTGTTATTTTTCATTTGCGATGGAAGTACAAAGAAGATAAGTTTCTTAGATTTATTTGCTCTATCACATGCATATATTTTTTTCCGGATTAAACGAGGCTAGTCAAAACTTAACCTATACCCCAATGAAACTTAACAAATAGTGGTGGATCCCTTTATGAATGATAAATAAATAATTATTACATGCTTTCCCTCACAACTGTCTAGCATATTCTTTCCTCTCCCGTGCTATAAGGGCTATTCTTGCCGCAACATTTGATCTTGCTGACTCTACTGAATCTGCAAGCCGGGCAGTCTACAGATGTGGTTAATGCAAACAACATACAGATTTTAAGAAAAATCATTTTATTTCAGGCAAAGGAAAAGGGAAAGGATCCATATATCAAAAAACAACTACGAAATAGAAATAGATTTTGATATAAAGAAACCTACGTGGTGCTCTGACAAACACTTATACAATTCACGTTATAAAACCAGTACCAGCACCAAGAGAACAAAACAATACATATAAATAAA